CCTCCCCCCCAGACTGCCTACAAGCGGGCAGACGAGAGCTGGAGGTCCCGTACGCTATAGCGCGGAGGAACCACCTCAAAACGCCCATGTACGTGATGGGCGTGAGTCAAGACACACAGTGGCATCTGGCACAGAGGTACTCACTCATCTTTGGAGGGAAGGCGCAGAGACTGGCTTATAACAGGAACGACACCACGCGACAGGTGAGTGTGTGTATGTGTGTGTGTGTGTGTGTGTGTGTGTGTGTGTGTGTGTGTGTGTGTGTTGTTTGTTTCAACTAGTGTATTTTATTTTGTTTGTTTTTACTAATTTTACTAGAAATCTAGTGGGTTTTGTTTTGTTCATTTTTACTGACACCCCCGGGGCGGTGCTACTGACTAAAGTGTCTTTATGCCATTCCCAAAGGGGGGACTTTAAGATGTTCTTATGCTCAGTAGAATTGTAAATGGAATGATTCATCAGTGTCATGCTCATAACTGTGTCTGAACTGCATAAGAGGAACTGCTGCTTTTTCTTTCCTAATCCTAACTATCGTCATTTTTCCTCTATCGCTTTTGTATGTTTGTCACTTTCTTGTGACCCGATATGTCCAGGGTGCCTTGATAGTCCAAGGAGACTTTGTGCTGTTGAGGCTAGAGAGGTGAGCAGAGTAAGCCTGATTCCCTATTTGGACTTCTTCATCCACCCTTTGACGCTTAAATGACCGTATGCAGTTGGAGTGCGTAAAACCTTACTAAAACAAAACATTTTTTTTACCCAAGTCCACTCTGCTTATACTGACATACATCCTCCTCCTATTCACACAGACATCTGTCAAGTATTGGTTTCCTTTCCGTCAGTCCATCCTTCCTCCTGTTAATTTACTAGCGCATACGTACGTCTCTTAAAAATCCTCACAGATTGTCTTTAGCGCGCCGCGCACATTAATGATACCATTCATGAACGTGAGCATACAGGCTTAATACTAACAGGCCTATAAGTATACCCCCTTTTCCTCTTTCTTTACACCTACTCCCACCCTCCCCTCACACACACGAATGCAAACCCACATAATATACACACACAATCACACACGCATAACATAAACACACACACACACACACACACACACACACACACACACACACACACACACA